CCAAAACCTCAACTTAGTAAGGGTATTTTATTAGTTCCAAAAAGAATTACAATTGAACTCAAGAAAACATCTTCATAATCCCTTACATGTAAATGAAAAATTGAATACATCGTAAAAAATTTAAAAAGAATTTAATGAATTTCGACAGCCAAGTAAGATTTTCTTCCTCAAGACTCGAATACCCTATGATCCTAAAGCAAAAAATATTGTACATCATGCGGCTATTATGTAATTTGGTATAAAAAATATTCTGTCCTAAAAATATTCTGTCCTAAAAAAAGGGCAGATTTTATTTTTACCTATTGTAGTTTGACCCATTTACGCATCATCTCCTTCTCGTTCTAAAATGAGATTTAACCCTCTTATGCTTGTTCGACTAAAATGCACCAGTATATTTTTTATTCATTTTAACGACAAGTGTAAATCATGTACCTGTTATGCAATTTGGTATAAAAAACTCATGTCGAAAATAGGAAAAAACCCTCATCTTCCTCTTCCATCTTTGTTTGGCATCCCTCACAAAACCCCCCTCTCTCCCTCTCTCTCTCTCTCGTCAACAACCATAACCACCATCACCAACATCCTCATTTTTGCTCGCCACTGTAATCCACATCACCTCTCTCTCTCTCACACACACACATACACAAACATATACACACACACACACAGATCTCCCCTCTTTGTCAACAACCACTTTCTCCACCACCCCCTCCTCCTTTTTGACAGCCCCAATCAAGCCTAAATCGAATAACCTACCAACACCTTTTGTCTCCTCATCTGCCCCTCTCTCTCACACACACACCCTCCTGCAGCTCCGTAACACAGTGAGATGGGCAGTAGAGCGATTGTGCAAGCACCAACAACCATGATTACCAGTTTTGATTTGATTTAAATTTGTTATCTTTGTTTCAAGTTTGACTTCCTATTGTTTTTATTCTAATTTTTTATTTTCATGTTGATATTCCAATTTGATTCTACTTTTAGTTTAATTTTTTATTTATGCTTTAATATTTGGTGAAGAAAAGTAGAATTGAGATTTGTTGGTGTGGGCGCACTGCGAATGCTGGAGTNAATGAAAATTTTTATGGCTAATTTGTGAGTTAGGTAGCCTGAAACGGATGCCACTCTAAGAGGGCAAAGGTAATCAGCTAATCATAACCATTGGCAAGTGATCAGGTCTCTGCCTTTATGTTGCAGTATTGACTTGAGTAATAGTGGTAAGTTATTGTACTGATCAAGAAAGGAAGATTAGTTATTCCAACTCCTGTTCTGCTTAAGCAGATCCTGTTCAAGTTTAAAAACCCAACAACAACATACAATTAGGATGGACTAGTATGCTGCTATAACCCAATATATCCACCTTTGAAATTGCAGGGTAGCCCAAATGGCAGCTCATTAGATCAGTCACCTGGTGTCAAGCAACATAAAAGCTTATAGGTGAGGCCCCAAACAGCAGAACCAAACGGGGTACAGTGCTTATAAAGTTACTAGAAAAGTTGACCACGGTATTATCCCTATCCAAAAAAAAAAAGGAACACAGCATTATTCTAATTAAAAAAAAAATGACCACACTATTATGTTATTATGACTGCATGACACCTAACTCAAGTATTACACACCTATTAGGGTCAAGAGCAGCCGTGTTCAAGCTTGACTTGTAAGGCCACTAGGCCTAATATCTACTCTTGAGCTGGGCTCATTCTGAGCCTCACAAGTAGGGCTCCAATAATTTTAATTGCCCACCATGAAGTGCCTCTCATCAGCAAACATACATCTTCATTACGCAAAATATAGCAAATTACTAATCCCACGACAAACTAAATGAACTTACCCCCCACCCCCCAAAAAAAGGAAAGGAAATACTAGATGAAAAGAAGTAAAAAGCAGAGGAATAGATCTAGTTATGAAGCACACATATGCAGAACCTATTGCTAGCAGAAAATTTTGGAACGAACAAAAAAATAATAATAATAAAGCAATTGCCAACTGTTAGTTTTTAGAATTTTTATTTTCAGTCACAAAAAAGCAAAACAAAAATAAACTGACCGTTCAAAAAGCCTCTCAATATTTTGAAACTGCTTTTCCGATGAAAGAAGTGTTTCTCTCACACTGATAAGACTGCTGACATAAGATTTTAGAGATTCGAAGTCTCGCTTGACACGACAAAGCTCCTGTTCATTTTCTGCAGCTCTTTGCCTCTGTCTAGATGTTTCTTCAACCAAATCTTCAACCCTCTGTCGCATTTCATTTAAAACAGAATTTGTACCCAGTGCAAATTTTTCCATCTCCTCTAGTTTTACCGACATGTTTTCAATATGAAGTGCCTTCCTTTTAATCTCTTCCTGTCCTAATGTTACCTTCTCTTTCTCAATGGCAATTTTAGATTCTGCCATAATAATTCTTTTGACAAGATTTTCCATTACATCTGCAACCATGTGTACACTCTTGAGAATTTCACTGATATAAGCCACATCTTGTTCATCAAGAGAACCATGCTGACTATTTATTCCAATCCATGTTTCCTCATCTGGACCCTCAAAGGAAGAAAGATCTACATTCCTGGACCAACCAGACAAAGGAGTTCCATGTTTGTCAACAAGTCCCACTCCATCTAATTGTCTAATGCTACATGAGGTATGGGCCAAATGAGGAACAGCCATGAGTCTTGCTTTTGATTTCAAGTACGCCAATAATGTTGCTGTAGTTTTGACTCTTCGCCAAAGAACCTCTAACTCCTTTTTGGCATCTTCCTCTGACCCCATACAATCTTTTACCTCCATAAGTTTTGCTTGCAAGATATCCACTTGAGACTGGCTTCGCTCCATCTCCTGCTTCCACATCATATGTGTTTGGCTTAGTTGGGACTTCAAAGTTGACAAGTCAACATCTTCCTCTGTTGCCATCACCTTTCCAATAATGTACAACATGAGAACTCAAGAGTCTAAGCAGAGAAAAACCAACCAATTAAAAATGAAATCTTCAAAAAAAAAAAAAAGGAACCTGGAATGATGTTTATGAAAAACAAATATTTTTGAAGCTCCTAAGGGTTCTTGAATTGGGAAATAACACAAGTAAAACCAAAAAAAAAAAAAACCAGCTATAAAACAGTAATAACTATTATTGCTAAGACATTACACAGAAAGCATTCAAACAGTTTTTGAGATACATGAGCTCTCAATGTCTACATGCTTCATCATGATAAGTAAGAAAAAGCTCTACACAATTTTGGCAACTGGTTCTTCAAACATACATCTGGTGTCTGCATCAACTTAACACCTGATCAGCATAAATAGAGAGCATCTGTATCGGACCCAAATGTAACAGAAGAACAAAGGCAACCACACTTCAATAGCTTCATAAATTTGATCTAAAACAACTATGAGAACTCAGCATCCACCATAACCATGGTTCACAAGAACAGAGTATGGGGGAAAAAAAAGAATGCACAACTATGGATGATGTTAATAAGCATGGCGTTCATTTCAAAAGTAAAGCAAAACCTATACGTAATTGAAGCTGAAAACAATGAATATATTCGTGAAATTGTATAAGTAGCACCGACAGAAGATCAATCAAGAAAATTGACTTAGGTAATCTGGGCATGTTTATAGAAGTGTTAATACTACATTAGTGATATGTAATATCCACCAATGGTAGTGCAAGAGGTGACGGAAATTAACTTTGAATGAGATGGTAAAAAAAATGATATCTTACGATTTAACATAAAGTATAACCCTCAGAGTACGATTGAGGAACATAGTTCATGTAGTAAACCCCAAATAAATGAGACTAGGCTTTGTTCTGAAAAAAGGAAATATTTTTTTTGTACCTATATAAGCGCATAAATATAGTTACCCAGAAAAACACAAGAAACTAATGTGAAAGAAGAATAAATTGGGGGTAAACCACACCAAATACAAGGCCCCAATGTCTTCATTATTTGACACTCAAGCATATGGTGTTCTGCACTTCAATCATACATTTACTCGGCTACGCGACGTCACAGAAACACATTAAGATTCAAAAAGATCAAAGAGCTGAAAAAGCAGAAATAAATGACACTTGACTTGGAATTGAACTAGAACCATAGTCGATCTAACAAGAGTTTCAGCATCCAATTACATAGAAACCAAACTCCACATCCAAAACAATGGCTTCAGATATTACTGATCCAAAAAAGTCCCGATCGAAAACTATTTCAAAAGTTCTATTTCCGGGCAACCCAACAACACGACGAAAATTTTCTACGAAGGAAATGAAAACCACATTACAAGAGAAAAAATCAAAACCAAAATCTTACAAGTCACAGAGAGAAGAAAAATCTGATTTCAAACAAACCATATTTCTTACAAGAGATGACAAAGCTGATAAGCGTATGATTACCGAGCAAACAATAAGGACAAACTATATATTCGTAGAACAAAGAAGGCCCCGGGACAACCGTAGATAAAGTCGACAGCTTTCGATTGACGATTCGAAATTGGAACCAAAAAACCTTTTCTTACAAGAATCCAATATACAAGATCGAGAGAGAGAGGGAGAGAGGAACCTTCTGATTTGTGGAAAAATTTGGAGCTTCCGATGACATGTTGATGTTGTTTTGTCCAACGGGCGTTCTGAAAAGGGGTCTTCGGGCAAAGAATTGGTTGCAGAGAGCAGGTAATGCATTATGTCTGCTTTACCTTTTGTTCTTTTTGTCAAATTACAATTGTCCCCCTTAATAGTGCCAAAATAGCATTATCTACACCGTTGAAGGCTATGAACTTCCAATTTTTTATTTTTTTTAAAGTTTAAGATATTTGAATCATTTTACTCTTTGATTAAATTTTTTCCTCTCAATTAAAGGTAGGTTTTTCACGCCATTAAAAGCTATAATATTTACCTTCCTAGCAAATATATAAGCGGTGTTTGATAATATCACTTAAGTCTTAAAATTGAATACTTTAAATACTTAATAAGTTAAATTTGTTTGATAATCTAAAACTCATACTACTTAATATTTTAAGTACTTCTTAAAAATAGACTAAAATTTTAAGTAAAAAATCACCTATTTATCACTTTTATGCTAAAAATGTTGATAAAAATTTTATCAATTTCTCATATATGGACAAATATATCCTCACCACCATTGTGTCAACTCCACCACCACCAACACTATAATCACCACCACCATTGTTCCACTGCCACCGTTGTCACCGTCACCGCCACTGCCACTACCACTACCACCACCACTACTATCATTGTGTCACCATCATCACTATCATCGCTGCCACCATTACTACTATTATATCACCGCTACTATCACCACCGCCATCATTACCAGCACCATTGTCGCCATCACCTCCACTACCATCACCACCACCATCGTCACTATCATTGTGTTGTTACAACCAACACTACCATTATGTCATCGCTACCACCATCACCACTACCACTATCGCCTCCACCATCACTATCATTGTATCACTGCCACCGCTACCGCTACCGCCATCGTAGTGTTGTCGCTGCCACTACTACTACCATTGTTGCCGTCATCACCACCACCACCATTATCATTGTGTCACCATCACCGTCACCACCATTACTGTTATGTCACCGTCATTGCCACCACCGTTACCATTGTTGCCGTCACCACTACCGTCACCATTGTGTCACCATCACTATCACCCATCATTACCGTTATGTCACCGTCATTGCCACCACCAACATTGTGTCACAATTAGCACCACCACCACCACTAATATCATCATTGTGTCACCGCTACCATTATCATTGTCACCACCACTATCGTTGCTGTCATCACCACCACCACCATTATGTCGTTGCCACCATCACCATCATCGTTGTCACCACTACCATCACCATTTTGTGTGTGGTGGTGGTGATAGGAATAAGACAATTGCAGATAAATAGTTAAAGAGAATGACAAAATTAGAATAATAATAATTTTTAAATTTCAGCTCATTATGTTTATCAAATAATTTGATTAAATTCATTACTTAAATTTCAGTTGATATCAAACAGTCTGCGAATTAAAAAATTCAACATTCAACACTTAAAATTAAGTATTCAGTTTTTAGTGTTGAGCCTTCAATTTTATCACACATTTCCTAAGTATGTATACAAAGTTGTAGCCTGTGCTTAAATATAAATTTTTTTTTTTTTTTGCCCAAAACCTCAACTTAGTAAGGGTATTTTATTAGTTCCAAAAAGAATTACAATTGAACTCAAGAAAACATCTTCATAATCCCTTACATGTAAATGAAAAATTGAATACATCGTAAAAAATTTAAAAAGAATTTAATGAATTTCGACAGCCAAGTAAGATTTTCTTCCTCAAGACTCGAATACCCTATGATCCTAAAGCAAAAAATATTGTACATCATGCGGCTATTATGTAATTTGGTATAAAAAATATTCTGTCCTAAAAATATTCTGTCCTAAAAAAAGGGCAGATTTTATTTTTACCTATTGTAGTTTGACCCATTTACGCATCATCTCCTTCTCGTTCTAAAATGAGATTTAACCCTCTTATGCTTGTTCGACTAAAATGCACCAGTATATTTTTTATTCATTTTAACGACAAGTGTAAATCATGTACCTGTTATGCAATTTGGTATAAAAAACTCATGTCGAAAATAGGAAAAAACCCTCATCTTCCTCTTCCATCTTTGTTTGGCATCCCTCACAAAACCCCTCTCTCTCTCTCTCTCTCTCTCTCGTCAACAACCATAACCACCATCACCAACATCCTCATTTTTGCTCGCCACTGTAATCCACATCACCTCTCTCTCTCTCACACACACACATACACAAACATATACACACACACAGAGATCTCCCCTCTTTGTCAACAACCACTTTCTCCACCACCCCCTCCTCCTTTTTGACAGCCCCAATCAAGCCTAAATCGAATAACCCACCAACACCTTTTGTCTCCTCATCTGCCCCTCTCTCTCACACACACACCCCTCCTGCAGCTCCGTAACACAGTGAGATGGGCAGTAGAGCGATTGTGCAAGCACCAACAACCATGATTACCAGTTTTGATTTGATTTAAATTTGTTATCTTTGTTTCAAGTTTGACTTCCTATTGTTTTTATTCTAATTTTTTATTTTCATGTTGATATTCCAATTTGATTCTACTTTTAGTTTAATTTTTTATTTATGCTTTAATATTTGGTGAAGAAAAGTAGAATTGAGATTTGTTGGTGTGGGCGCACTGCGAATGCTGGAGTCGGGGCATTCAGTAGATTTGGGATAGAATTTTTGAGTTGTATTGAGGTTGAATTGTGAAGACGAAGTGGTTTGAATGGTGTAGGCGGTGGGTTGCTGTGAGTGGTGATGGAATAATGAATGTCGGAGTTGAGAGCGGCTGGGGTGCCGGAGTTAACGGTGATGGCAATGATGGCTGGGTTACCGGAGTTATTTTGAGATAATTGTTTATAAATTAAAAGATAAAATGATGGATATTAAGGTCATTTTAATGTAACAGTTAATAGAGTTAATTGTGCATTTAGTCCAATAACCACAAGGGAATTCAATGTCGTTTTAGAACTTTGAGAGATGATGTGCAAATGGGTCAACCCATAAGAGAGTAAAATGAAGTTTGCCCTAAAAAAAAGGTTTATGTTTTGCATTACTTCATAATGGAGTTGTAAATTGTAATCTCATAGTCATTTGGATAGAAAAACTTTATAGTTTATTTTCTCTTGATTCTAATTTGATTTTCACAGTTTTTCTGTCACTAATTGTTTCACAATGATTATATTCATCAAGAGTCTCACTTGAACAATGTGATTGTAAAATTTATCTATATAATAAAGTAGTTAATTTTTTTTGTCTTGATATTTTCATGGTTCAGATCGTTTGAGAATTATTGATCTGATGATCTTAATTGGACTTTCATTCATTGCAAAACTCTAAAACTCTTATTTCTCATATAATTTCTCTCTCTATANTTATGTTATTATGACTGCATGACACCTAACTCAAGTATTACACACCTATTAGGGTCAAGAGCAGCCGTGTTCAAGCTTGACTTGTAAGGCCACTAGGCCTAATATCTACTCTTGAGCTGGGCTCATTCTGAGCCTCACAAGTAGGGCTCCAATAATTTCAATTGCCCACCATGAAGTGCCTCTCATCAGCAAACATACATCTTCATTACGCAAAATATAGCAAATTACTAATCCCACGACAAACTAAATGAACTTACCCCCCACCCCCCAAAAAAAGGAAAGGAAATACTAGATGAAAAGAAGTAAAAAGCAGAGGAATAGATCTAGTTATGAAGCACACATATGCAGAACCTATTGCTAGCAGAAAATTTTGGAACGAACAAAAAAATAATAATAATAAAGCAATTGCCAACTGTTAGTTTTTAGAATTTTTATTTTCAGTCACAAAAAAGCAAAACAAAAATAAACTGACCGTTCAAAAAGCCTCTCAATATTTTGAAACTGCTTTTCCGATGAAAGAAGTGTTTCTCTCACACTGATAAGACTGCTGACATAAGATTTTAGAGATTCGAAGTCTCGCTTGACACGACAAAGCTCCTGTTCATTTTCTGCAGCTCTTTGCCTCTGTCTAGATGTTTCTTCAACCAAATCTTCAACCCTCTGTCGCATTTCATTTAAAACAGAATTTGTACCCAGTGCAAATTTTTCCATCTCCTCTAGTTTTACCGACATGTTTTCAATATGAAGTGCCTTCCTTTTAATCTCTTCCTGTCCTAATGTTACCTTCTCTTTCTCAATGGCAATTTTAGATTCTGCCATAATAATTCTTTTGACAAGATTTTCCATTACATCTGCAACCATGTGTACACTCTTGAGAATTTCACTGATATAAGCCACATCTTGTTCATCAAGAGAACCATGCTGACTATTTATTCCAATCCATGTTTCCTCATCTGGACCCTCAAAGGAAGAAAGATCTACATTCCTGGACCAACCAGACAAAGGAGTTCCATGTTTGTCAACAAGTCCCACTCCATCTAATTGTCTAATGCTACATGAGGTATGGGCCAAATGAGGAACAGCCATGAGTCTTGCTTTTGATTTCAAGTACGCCAATAATGTTGCTGTAGTTTTGACTCTTCGCCAAAGAACCTCTAACTCCTTTTTGGCATCTTCCTCTGACCCCATACAATCTTTTACCTCCATAAGTTTTGCTTGCAAGATATCCACTTGAGACTGGCTTCGCTCCATCTCCTGCTTCCACATCATATGTGTTTGGCTTAGTTGGGACTTCAAAGTTGACAAGTCAACATCTTCCTCTGTTGCCATCACCTTTCCAATAATGTACAACATGAGAACTCAAGAGTCTAAGCAGAGAAAAACCAACCAATTAAAAATGAAATCTTCAAAAAAAAAAAAAAGGAACCTGGAATGATGTTTATGAAAAACAAATATTTTTGAAGCTCCTAAGGGTTCTTGAATTGGGAAATAACACAAGTAAAACCAAAAAAAAAAAAAACCAGCTATAAAACAGTAATAACTATTATTGCTAAGACATTACACATAAAGCATTCAAACAGTTTTTGAGATACATGAGCTCTCAATGTCTACATGCTTCATCATGATAAGTAAGAAAAAGCTCTACACAATTTTGGCAACTGGTTCTTCAAACATACATCTGGTGTCTGCATCAACTTAACACCTGATCAGCATAAATAGAGAGCATCTGTATCGGACCCAAATGTAACAGAAGAACAAAGGCAACCACACTTCAATAGCTTCATAAATTTGATCTAAAACAACTATGAGAACTCAGCATCCACCATAACCATGGTTCACAAGAACAGAGTATGGGGGAAAAAAAAGAATGCACAACTATGGATGATGTTAATAAGCATGGCGTTCATTTCAAAAGTAAAGCAAAACCTATACGTAATTGAAGCTGAAAACAATGAATATATTCGTGAAATTGTATAAGTAGCACCGACAGAAGATCAATCAAGAAAATTGACTTAGGTAATCTGGGCATGTTTATAGAAGTGTTAATACTACATTAGTGATATGTAATATCCACCAATGGTAGTGCAAGAGGTGACGGAAATTAACTTTGAATGAGATGGTAAAAAAAATGATATCTTACGATTTAACATAAAGTATAACCCTCAGAGTACGATTGAGGAACATAGTTCATGTAGTAAACCCCAAATAAATGAGACTAGGCTTTGTTCTGAAAAAAGGAAATATTTTTTTTGTACCTATATAAGCGCATAAATATAGTTACCCAGAAAAACACAAGAAACTAATGTGAAAGAAGAATAAATTGGGGGTAAACCACACCAAATACAAGGCCCCAATGTCTTCATTATTTGACACTCAAGCATATGGTGTTCTGCACTTCAATCATACATTTACTCGGCTACGCGACGTCACAGAAGCACATTAAGATTCAAAAAGATCAAAGAGCTGAAAAAGCAGAAATAAATGACACTTGACTTGGAATTGAACTAGAACCATAGTCGATCTAACAAGAGTTTCAGCATCCAATTACATAGAAACCAAACTCCACATCCAAAACAATGGCTTCAGATATTACTGATCCAAAAAAGTCCCGATCGAAAACTATTTCAAAAGTTCTATTTCCGGGCAACCCAACAACACGACGAAAATTTTCTACGAAGGAAATGAAAACCACATTACAAGAGAAAAAATCAAAACCAAAATCTTACAAGTCACAGAGAGAAGAAAAATCTGATTTCAAACAAACCATATTTCTTACAAGAGATGACAAAGCTGATAAGCGTATGATTACCGAGCAAACAATAAGGACAAACTATATATTCGTAGAACAAAGAAGGCCCCGGGACAACCGTAGATAAAGTCGACAGCTTTCGATTGACGATTCGAAATTGGAACCAAAAAACCTTTTCTTACAAGAATCCAATATACAAGATCGAGAGAGAGAGGGAGAGAGGAACCTTCTGATTTGTGGAAAAATTTGGAGCTTCCGATGACATGTTGATGTTGTTTTGTCCAACGGGCGTTCTGAAAAGGGGTCTTCGGGCAAAGAATTGGTTGCAGAGAGCAGGTAATGCATTATGTCTGCTTTACCTTTTGTTCTTTTTGTCAAATTACAATTGTCCCCCTTAATAGTGCCAAAATAGCATTATCTACACCGTTGAAGGCTATGAACTTCCAATTTTTTATTTTTTTTAAAGTTTAAGATATTTGAATCATTTTACTCTTTGATTAAATTTTTTCCTCTCAATTAAAGGTAGGTTTTTCACGCCATTAAAAGCTATAATATTTACCTTCCTAGCAAATATATAAGCGGTGTTTGATAATATCACTTAAGTCTTAAAATTGAATACTTTAAACACTTAATAAGTTAAATTTGTTTGATAATCTAAAACTCATACTACTTAATATTTTAAGTACTTCTTAAAAATAGACTAAAATTTTAAGTAAAAAATCACCTATTTATCACTTTTATGCTAAAAATGTTGATAAAAATTTTATCAATTTCTCATATATGGACAAATATATCCTCACCACCATTGTGTCAACTCCACCACCACCAACACTATAATCACCACCACCATTGTTCCACTGCCACCGTTGTCACCGTCACCGCCACTGCCACTACCACTACCACCACCACTACTATCATTGTGTCACCATCATCACTATCATCGCTGCCACCATTACTACTATTATATCACCGCTACTATCACCACCGCCATCATTACCAGCACCATTGTCGCCATCACCTCCACTACCATCACCACCACCATCGTCACTATCATTGTGTTGTTACAACCAACACTACCATTATGTCATCGCTACCACCATCACCACTACCACTATCGCCTCCACCATCACTATCATTGTATCACTGCCACCGCTACCGCTACCGCCATCGTAGTGTTGTCGCTGCCACTACTACTACCATTGTTGCCGTCATCACCACCACCACCATTATCATTGTGTCACCATCACCGTCACCACCATTACTGTTATGTCACCGTCATTGCCACCACCGTTACCATTGTTGCCGTCACCACTACCGTCACCATTGTGTCACCATCACTATCACCCATCATTACCGTTATGTCACCGTCATTGCCACCACCAACATTGTGTCACAATTAGCACCACCACCACCACTAATATCATCATTGTGTCACCGCTACCATTATCATTGTCACCACCACTATCGTTGCTGTCATCACCACCACCACCATTATGTCGTTGCCACCATCACCATCATCGTTGTCACCACTACCATCACCATTTTGTGTGTGGTGGTGGTGATAGGAATAAGACAATTGCAGATAAATAGTTAAAGAGAATGACAAAATTAGAATAATAATAATTTTTAAATTTCAGCTCATTATGTTTATCAAATAATTTGATTAAATTCATTACTTAAATTTCAGTTGATATCAAACAGTCTGCGAATTAAAAAATTCAACATTCAACACTTAAAATTAAGTATTCAGTTTTTAGTGTTGAGCCTTCAATTTTATCACACATTTCCTAAGTATGTATACAAAGTTGTAGCCTGTGCTTAAATATAAATTTTTTTTTTTTTTTGCCCAAAACCTCAACTTAGTAAGGGTATTTTATTAGTTCCAAAAAGAATTACAATTGAACTCAAGAAAACATCTTCATAATCCCTTACATGTAAATGAAAAATTGAATACATCGTAAAAAATTTAAAAAGAATTTAATGAATTTCGACAGCCAAGTAAGATTTTCTTCCTCAAGACTCGAATACCCTATGATCCTAAAGCAAAAAATATTGTACATCATGCGGCTATTATGTAATTTGGTATAAAAAATATTCTGTCCTAAAAATATTCTGTCCTAAAAAAAGGGCAGATTTTATTTTTACCTATTGTAGTTTGACCCATTTACGCATCATCTCCTTCTCGTTCTAAAATGAGATTTAACCCTCTTATGCTTGTTCGACTAAAATGCACCAGTATATTTTTTATTCATTTTAACGACAAGTGTAAATCATGTACCTGTTATGCAATTTGGTATAAAAAACTCATGTCGAAAATAGGAAAAAACCCTCATCTTCCTCTTCCATCTTTGTTTGGCATCCCTCACAAAACCCCTCTCTCTCTCTCTCTCTCTCTCTCGTCAACAACCATAACCACCATCACCAACATCCTCATTTTTGCTCGCCACTGTAATCCACATCACCTCTCTCTCTCTCACACACACACATACACAAACATATACACACACACACACAGATCTCCCCTCTTTGTCAACAACCACTTTCTCCACCACCCCCTCCTCCTTTTTGACAGCCCCAATCAAGCCTAAATCGAATAACCTACCAACACCTTTTGTCTCCTCATCTGCCCCTCTCTCTCACACACACACCCTCCTGCAGCTCCGTAACACAGTGAGATGGGCAGTAGAGCGATTGTGCAAGCACCAACAACCATGATTACCAGTTTTGATTTGATTTAAATTTGTTATCTTTGTTTCAAGTTTGACTTCCTATTGTTTTTATTCTAATTTTTTATTTTCATGTTGATATTCCAATTTGATTCTACTTTTAGTTTAATTTTTTATTTATGCTTTAATATTTGGTGAAGAAAAGTAGAATTGAGATTTGTTGGTGTGGGCGCACTGCGAATGCTGGAGTCGGGGCATTCAGTAGATTTGGGATAGAATTTTTGAGTTGTATTGAGGTTGAATTGTGAAGACGAAGTGGTTTGAATGGTGTAGGCGGTGGGTTGCTGTGAGTGGTGATGGAATAATGAATGTCGGAGTTGAGAGCGGCTGGGGTGCCGGAGTTAATGGTGATGGCAATGATGGCTGGGTTACCGGAGTTATTTTGAGATAATTGTTTATAAATTAAAAGATAAAATGATGGATATTAAGGTCATTTTAATGTAACAGTTAATAGAGTTAATTGTGCATTTAGTCCAATAACCACAAGGGAATTCAATGTCGTTTTAGAACTTTGAGAGAGATGATGTGCAAATGGGTCAACCCATAAGAGAGTAAAATGAAGTTTGCCCTAAAAAAAAGGTTTATGTTTTGCATTACTTCATAATGGAGTTGTAAATTGTAATCTCATAGTCATTTGGATAGAAAAACTTTATAGTTTATTTTCTCTTGATTCTAATTTGATTCTCACAGTTTTTCTGTCACTAATTGTTCCACAATGATTATATTCATCAAGAGTCTCACTTGAACAATGTGATTGTAAAATTTATCTATATAATAAAGTAGTTAATTTTTTTTGTCTTGATATTTTCATGGTTCAGATCGTTTGAGAATTATTGATCTGATGATCTTAATTGGACTTTCATTCATTGCAAAACTCTAAAACTCTTATTTCTCATATAATTTCTCTCTCTATATCATATACCCAACTCTCATATATATATATATATATATATAACTCTCTCTCCCATAGACTTTTGAAATACACTCTCTCCCATTTCTCATACTCTTTCTCTCTCTCTCTATATATAGATAGATAAATAGAGATAGAATGAAAGGATTTTGCGACTCAAATCATTTGAGGATTATTGATCCGATGATATTAATTGGACTTTCACTCCTTTTAAAATTCCAAAACTTCTATCACTCATATAACTCTCTTTCTCTCTATCTCATACACCTAACTCTTATATATATATATATATCTATCATAGACATTTTAAACATACATTCTCCTATCTCTCATTAGGATCGTCAAGACAAACAATACTATCTCATACTCTTTATTTCTTAATATTATTTGTCTTGACGATCCTAATTGAACTTAATTACTCAGAATATTTGTATGATTTTATAGATGATAAAATATTTAAATGTTAAAAATAAAATTTCTCAATTATAGACATTCAAAGTCAATTTAATCACCAATAAGAAATAACAAGTGATACCAATTGCACCAAAAAAAGAAATTCAAAACTTAGTTAATCACCAATAAAAAATCATACAAAAAAATAATATTCAAAATCAACTATCAATTTTTTTTTCTTATTTGCATCGTTTTTCCCTTAGTAATGTTCATATTTTTTGGAATAGTTGAATAGTATAAAATAGACACTGAAACGATTAAAAATTCAATTAAATCAATTTTTTTTAAAGTGGCGAAATTTTAATTTTGTTGATTTGGTTTAATTGCAGCATCAGAATATTTTTGTAGCATCCAAGAAGTCACAACAACAAAAAATTTAAATCAATTGTCCTCGTAATTATAAGTAGATCTGTTGGATAATGTTAGTTCAATTGAGTTTTTTTTCTATTTTTAAAAAATTTGATTTGTAGTTCAATGCGAACTAAACAACCTATTTATTAGATTTAGCTAGAGGCTGAAAAAATGAACTCTCATTGGAAAGAAAAACCATCATGAAGAAATGTATGACAAAATAATTTTATAATGATGTTAATTTAATTTCATGGGAATTCTCGAATAGTGTTAATGTGATATAATTTTTCTTCATTTCAACCCTTACACTTCTTTTATTTAAAACATTCTTGGATGTCCTATTTACTTGGCGAATTTTTTGTGTTAACTTGAAAAGTCTTCTCTCCCACTTTATTTCTTTTTAAAAAATTTTAGAATTTTTTAATTCAAAATTTAAGACTCACTCCAATNCAAAAAAAAAAAAAACCAGCTATAAAACAGTAATAACTATTATTGCTAAGACATTACACAGAAAGCATTCAAACAGTTTTTGAGATACATGAGCTCTCAATGTCTACATGCTTCATCATGATAAGTAAGAAAAAGCTCTACACAATTTTGGCAACTGGTTCTTCAANATAAAGCATTCAAACAGTTTTTGAGATACATGAGCTCTCAATGTCTACATACTTCATCATGATAAGTAAGAAAAAGCTCTACACAATTTTGGCAACTGGTTCTTCAAACATACATCTGGTGTCTGCATCAACTTAACACCTGATCAGCATAAATAGAGAGCATCTGTATCGGACCCAAATGTAACAGAAGAACAAAGGCAACCACACT